CTGGTGCTGGCTCTGAACCTTGATCCTCAGATCTCAGCTTCCTGAGTAGCTAGGATTACAGACCTGAGCTATGGGGGCCTGGCTTGGATTCATGGAACATTCTTGTAGGTCCTCCATGTGGTTAGCTTAAGGGTTGTGAGAGCACTTTCCATGTGATCAACATTGGATCTGGTGGATCTGGGGACAGCAAAGGTAAAGATTTCTTTTGTCTCTGTGTTAGTACTGAGGTTGAACTCAGGGCTTGGGTGCTATCCCTGATCTTCTCTACATAGGTGCAATTCTAGTTGTTCAGCAAAGAGCAGCCTAACCTACAACATGACACTTGCTGGCCCCTTTTGATCAAATGCGTTGACAATGGAAACCTTATCTGAATTTTGCTATCCTTCTAAAAAGTAAATATAAAATGTTAGCCCAAATTTATTACTGAGTAAAGAACATGATTTTAGTGACACAGTGTTCCTAAAAACCCATGACCTTGCCAAACACTTTTTTTTTTTTTGGCTTGAATTCTGGACCTGGGCGCTTTCCCTAAGCTCTTCAGCTCCAGGCGAACGCTCTACTGCTTGAGCCACAGCACCATTTCAGGTTTTCTAGTGGTTTAAGAGATAAGAGTCTCACTGAGTTTCCTGGCTGGCTTTGAACCATGATCCACAGATCTCAGCCTCCTAAAAAGCTAGGATTTAGGAGTGAACCACCAGCGCCCGGCGCCAAACATATTTATGAGTACTATACTTCCACACAATGGTTATTGATCTTTTGTAGCTTTTTTTTTTTTTCCAGGGCTGAGGACTGAACCTAGGGCCTTGCGCGCGCCGGGCGGGGGTGCCCTTCCGCTGGGCTAAACCCCCAGCCCCACCACACAATGGTTATTGAGTAAAACATGTTTTTTTAAAAAATGTTCAACTCTTACCATTATATCTGTCATATGGTAATTGTTTAACCATTTTAATTAAGCAGTCTCTTCTAGTATTTCTCAGATATATTAAAATATATTACTATTATTAGAAATGTGTTCTCATTATGCTACAAGCTGATAACTTGTGGGCTCCAGTGGGCTCCAGTGATCATGAAAGGGGGGAGGTTATAAAACAAATATCATCAATTCACACTATTCATTAATAAAGTCTCCTCTGGTGAATAGGGAGATAAAGATAACTTTAAGGTACCTTTAAGGAAGGAAGAGACCAAGCAAGGAACTTAGTCTGGGAGCAAGGAAGGCAGAGACCTTTAGTTATCATCTCTACTTGTAGAAATCATTATTTTCAAGGCTTAGCTCCTAAGTTACCTCCAGCATAAGAGTGAGGTATCACTGCACCAGTTCTTTGTGTGTGTGTGTGTGTGTGTGTGTGTGTGTGTGTGTGTGTGTGTGTGTGTGTTTGAAATGTTAAACTTTACTAAAATAAGTACATATATTTTCCTTATCCTACTTCTGAAATTAAAAAAAATTATCTTTACAAAGAAGTTCCCATTCTACAAAATGTTATATGAATACAAGGTGTCTGACAACAGTGTCACCCATCGCTCCTTACCCATTCCTTCTTTCATTTAAAAAAATTGAGATTAGATAATTACATAAATTTCACATATTTCATAGTATTGTGGGATAGTGATGCTTAGTTAAGGTCACAAATGTTAGGTTTTTAAAAAGAGGTTGCTGAGTAAGAACACCATGCACAGTGGTAATTCAGGTAAGGGGTATGTTTATTCATTGTATTCATTGTTCTGGCTGGGACCAGGCCATGTTGGCCCTGGGGGGGGGGACGGGGGGGAGAGCGGGGAAAGGCCTGGGAAAGACCTGGGAAAAGAGCTGGGAAAGAGGGCATCTGGGCCTAGGCTAAGCCTCATCTAGGGTATGGGTGGAGAAAGGTGTGGCCATATCAAATTCAGATGTGACCTCAGTGGATGCAGATGTGACCTCTTCCAGGTGTGCCAGTTGCCTAGGTAATGCAGGTACTGGGTGGAGATTTTGCTGAGAGGAGGATGGAGTCTGCTCACCATCCAGGAGTGGACCTTAAACACATTTTAACCTTCACAAGGCACATTGTCATTATCATGGAACATACAGTTTGCACCAGTTCTTTAGTTCAATTTAGGTAATATCTTCAATGCCAAGCTCCTTCCAGGTACTGAAAGGGGATTTAAAAAAAAGCACCCTAGCAAAATAAATTGATTTTCCCATGAAAATATCAAAGTTCACAATAGACTCATTAAACAAGAGAGATAGAGGAGACTATGCCTATGATTCTTAAAGCAGTAAGTGAAAACAATTTCCCTTTCCTTTCCTTTTCCTTTTTCCTTTCTGCTGTATTAGAGTTTGAATTCATGCCCTATTGCTTACTAGGCAGACATCCTACCAATTGAGCCATGTTCCTAGCTGTTTTTTTTTTTTTTGTTTTTATTTTTTAGTTATGTATTGGATATCTTGTTGTGATTTTCCCCCTTGCTTTCTTAGAACATAATTCACCTATCTCTGTCTCCAAAGTAGCTGGTATTACATGCATATCTCACCACACCTACTTCATCTTATTTCCTTTACAAAAAGCCAAGAAGATTGACTTTATGCACCACACCAAGAAAGGAAGTAACAAATAAATAAGATGTCTTATTTTAGGGAGAATTTGGTCTAGTGGGGAGGCATATATAAATAATCTAAATGTAATAATATAATGTAATAATATATAATAATATAAATGGAATAGACACGTGCTATGGAAGTAGTACAAGGTCTAGATGGGTTCTAGAATTGACTTTGCCAAACAAACCTCCTAATATTACTGAACTCTATTCCCTGTTTTTCAGTATATTTCCTTTCTTGAAAATCTCATGTATGCTTCTGTCTCACAGCCTCTGTTCTTGGTGATAGTCTATGCAACCGGTAATACACAGGGGGCTTACTTCCTTTCTCTATTCAGGTTCTAGTTTTGTATTACATCATTAGAGTAGCTTTCCCTTGCCACCTGATATTCCTCTTAATCACTTTGCTCTTGGTGCTTTTATAGATTTTTCTTCATAATTCTTGCCAACAGGATGTATTTGCATGTTGCTCTCTTGATTTTTCTATTAAAATGAAACTTCATGAAAGGAAGGCGTTTTTACTCACTGTTGAACTTAACCTAGTCTTGAAGTCTACTGACTTTCTATAAATATATATTGAATAATTAAATGGAAAGAGATGAAATGAGTTCAAGAAAGATTTTAAATAATATGAGATTAATAAACTAAAAGAAGTGAATAATTCATGACTTTTATGAAGGTGAGTATATTTGAACAAAAGTTAGAAGAATGCAAGCAATTGTTCTTAACAGGTTAAAGAGCTCTGAAGAGCATGTAGAAATGTTTTCAAAGTAAAGAGAACTAAAACCCACATGACTGGTTTATATCATGTGAGATGATGTTGTTTGTGGAATGAAAACACTTTGTTAGAGCACATGCACCTTTTCCTTGAAGATTTAATTATGGAACATGTTTACCATCCTTCAATTTTGCTAGTGTCTTCATTTCCCAAGATTCTTTTTTTTTTTTTTTGTCGGTCGTGGGGCTTGAACTCGGCCTGGGCGCTGTCCCTCAGCTCTTCAGCTCAAGGCGAGCGCTCTACCACTTGAGCTACAGCGCCACTTCCGGTTTTCTGGTGGTTTATTGGAGATAGGAGTCTCACGGTCTCTCCTGCCCGGGCTGGCTTTGAACCGCGATCCTTAGATCTCAGCCTCCTGAGTAGCTAGGATTTCAGGCGTGAGCCACCAGCGCCCGGCTAGTCATTTCCCAAGATTCTAAAGGGAACAGATAGTCAATGACTGTTACATATATATTTATTTGAGAGGACAAGAAATCCAGTCATGGATTTGTACAACTAATATAGGTAGTTTATGTTGAAAAGTGAGTCTTTATTTGATCATTTCAGAACTAAAAGGGATCTTAAAGATATCTAATTCAATTTTCTCATTTTTAATTGAGAAAACAGCATACAGAAATTGGTCAACCAAGGTCACCCAACTCCTTTATTATAGTTAAGAATTGTAACTGCAGTTTCAACTCATTTTATGTCATCTTTTCATTTGAAGGTAGTACTTTAAAGTGTCCTCAAAATTTGGCATAATCTACCAAAATAAAAACTGCCTATACTTTATGCTCTGCCTTGGAGAAATAGGTGTCTGTTTGTGTGTGTCTTGGCTTGAACTCAGGGCCTGGATGGCTATTCTTGATTTTTTTGGTGGTTAATTGAAGATAAGAATCTCACAAATCTCCCTTCTTAATCTTTTTCCGGTCCTGAGGCTTGAACTCGTGGCCTGGGCGCTGTCCCTCAGCACTTCAGCTCAAGGAGAGTGCTCTACTCCACTTCCGGTTTTCTAGTGGTTTATTGGAGATGAGTCACTTGGACTTTCCTGCCCGGGCTGGCTTTGAACCTCGATCCTCAGATCTCAGCCTCCTGAGTAGTTAAGATTACAGGTGTGAGCCACCCCACCAGATCCTGGCTCCCTTCCTAATCTTACTTGAAATCTAGATCCTCAGATCTCAGGCTCCGGATTAAAGAGTTACAGGTGTGAGCCACTTGCACCCAAAAGCACTTTTATAAATCTGCAAGAAGTCACTGGAATTTTTTTTTAAACAAGGAGGGTGTATTATTCATACAGTGGTGCTTCTGTTGGGTGGTGGAAATTTTTCTACTGAGACTAGATTCTGATTTCTTTAATGGTAAGAAATAGGCGGTTGACAGGTAAGAATTGAATCTATTCTAACTATGCAACCTGTGAAAAATAACACAAAGGCTTTAGGAAGATTTTAAGGTTAAATCAAAGGTAGACAGGAGACCAGCATCAAAGGCAGAAGAGAACAATGGTGGAGCAACAGGCATCCCTGGGTACTAGCAGAGAGCTTGGGGGAGGGGAACCCGAGGTGACGCAGGACGCCAAGCCGAAAGGCAGAGCGGGATTCTGTAGGGGCGGGGCCAATAGTATTGCGCTTGCGCACACGGGCCTAAGTGGCCGCCGCGGAAGTGAAGCCACCTTAGAGACGCCGCGCCGCTGGGGTGCCGCCGCGCGTGCGCAGGCGGGGCCAGCACCGGCGTCTTCCTCTTCGCCTTCCCTGGCGCTGCCTTCTGTGGATTTTTGAGTCTCGCGCTTTCTTCGTTCGTTCTCCACCGAGTGCGCTCCCTTCTCGCGTCCCGGGACAGCGAGGCAGGGGAAGGGGTTGGAAGGGGCTGTTGATCGCCGCCACCTTTAACTTGTGCGTGGGGCGGCCATGTCGGCCGGCGAGGTCGAGCGCCTAGTGTCGGAGCTGAGCGGCGGGACCGGAGGGGATGAGGAGGAAGAGTGGCTGTATGGCGGTACGGAACTTCCTGTCCCTGTCTCCCTCGGGGTGGTCTGAGGCCTCTCCCACGCAAGCCGGCGTCCGGGCCGCAGGCGCCGCCGTCTCGGGCCTCTCGTTAGAGCCCCGGCCGGCCTAATTCGGGCCCAGCGCAGCGAGCGCGTCCCCCGGCCCGCGGCCGCCTACGCCCTGCCCACGCCCCCCCACCGCACCCCACGTCTTCTCGGGGTACTCGGGCCAGGGTGCGCCTCGCCTTCCCTCCACCTTCCCGGGTGTCCTCCGCCGCCTGCGAGCCTGTCTCTGGGCCACTTCCCTTCTCTCCCCCACCCCCACCCCCCTCCCTCTCTGCTCTTTCTTCTGGCCTTCTCTATTGCTTCTGAGGTGTGCTTGCTGTGTCTCTTCTTCTTGCCTCCACGGCCATAGCTTTGCCCTTTGCTGACCCTTGCTTTCAGAAAGTCATTCTGTAATAATAGCGAAATAAAGTTACATGCTGTAAAACTAACGTCTTGTTTCTTGATGGTCAGTTTGTATGGACAGTTTGTATGGAATGCACCTGCAAGGGTACCTCCTTGTCTGAAAGTCGTGCTTTAAAAATAATTAATTAAAAGAGAGACAGACAGAGAGATGGAAAACATTATGGCCCATAAAGAAAACCCTGAATGTCTCCTGTATTAAGGTGAAGTTTTTCTTTTTTAAGAGACTGCTTTTTAACCCACATCATAGATGTACCTCATGACCCTTAGGCATATAGTGCTCAGTGTCATCTCATGTGTTTGTTTTGTTTTGTTTCCTCTAAATTTAATGCATCTTGTACTTGCTTCTCGAAGGGGATTTGTTTTGACGTCTGGTTTTTTTTTTTTAATTCTCATTAAGTCATTATCCCTCTTGTCTGTTACACCAGATTTTAATGCTTGTTCCTTGCTTAAAATTTAAAAGTCTTGATTGCTTAAGAATAGTAAGTAAAAATGCACAGTGGGCACCATGCTGCTCCTAGATGTAACTTTGATAAAGTTGTTTAAAAAATATATTGTCTAGTGGCGTTAGCATTAATACCACTCTGAAATATGAATGTATGAGTTTCTTTTACACAGATCTTGGATCTTCAGTGCCTCTTAACCTTATTTTTAATAGTAGTAAAGTCTGATTTGTTCCATGAAAGACTTATCTTGTTAAACAATTATAAAGTGATCTAACTTTGGATATGCTTATAGGCCCATGGGACGTGCATGTGCACAGTGATTTGGCAAAGGACCTAGGTTAGTGCTTGTGATGATCACTTCAGATTTTCATAATACTGGTTTTTTTTTCCCCCACCAGCTTGGTTTATTTACTTACTTTATTTTATTTTACTTGGTAGATGAAAATGAAGTTGAAAGGCCAGAAGAAGAAAATGCCAGGTTAGTGGAAATTCCTGTTGATGCGTGTATAGATTTTATCAGTTGTGTGATACTGTCCATTATTTCGTTATAATCATTGGCTTGGTTTCACCATTTTAACTGCAGGTTGGGGACATTGAATCCCTTAGGGTTTATTCCTATTTCATGACCATTTCTGTCTTATTTGCTAGGAGAGTGAAATGTTCAACTCTTTTTTTTTTTTTTTTTTGGGTCCAGTTGTGGGGCCTAAACTCTGGGCCTGGGCTAAACTCTGGGCTAGCGCTCTACCACTTGAGCCACAGCGCCACTTCTGGCTTTTTTCCTTTTGCTTATGTGGTGCTGAGGAATCGAACCCAGGGCCTCAGGCATGCAAGGCAAGCGCTCAACCACTGAGCCACCTTCCCAGCCCAGTGTTCAACTCTTGAGTTTAGTAATTTTACTCTTTAACTGAGCTCAGTAGTAGCATATATAACATAATCATTAACTACTGAAATATTTTGCCTTCAAAATTTAAGGAACCCTGAAAAGTACCATTTTTATAATTTTATTAATATTTTTATATTAGAATATACTTTTGCTATAATTTCAGCATTTCATATCGATTAAGTTCAAAGTAGAATTGACTAATTTGCTACGAGGTTGATTTTTTTTTCTTTTTTTTGTCAGTCGTGGGGCTTGAACTCTGGGCCTGGGCTCTGTCCCTGAGCTCTTCAGCTCAAGAACACTTTACCACTTGAGCCACAGCACCACTTACAAGATTGATTTTTTTTTTTTAAGTTATTAGAATGGTGAAAGTACAAGATATATTCAAAGAAACAATTTCCTCTTAAAATTTCAAACTAATGCATACTCAAGCATGTAAGAAATACCTGGAAGTATAAAGTGGAGGAAATGCTATTTCAAACTTGTTTGCTGACTGGTATCAGAGATAAGACACGGGTTGTTGAGGATATGGAAAAATTGGAACTGTTATACCTTGTTGATAGGAGGAATTCTGTAGCTGTTTTTAGAATTGTCTAGCAGTTTTCTGAAATGGTTAAGCATAGAGTTTACCACATAATTCAGCAAAGAAATGAGAATGTATACCTCTATGCCTAAACTTGTACCTGAATATTTGTTTGTTGGTTTTAGGTGTCAGTCCTGGAGCTTGAACTCAAGGGCCTGGGCACTGTCCCTGAGCTGCTTTTGCTCAAGGCTAGTACTCTGCCATTTGAGCCACAGTGACATTTTGGCTTGTTCTGTTTATATGGTACTAAGGAATTGCATGTTAGGCAAACACTGTACCACTAAGCCACATTCCCAGCCCTGTACTTGAATGTTAATAGCATTATTTATCATAGTCAGATGGAAATGGAAATAACCTATGTGTTCATCAACTGACAAGTGGATAGATAAATGTGTCCACTTGGCAGTGGAAAGTAATGGAGTATTTATATGTTATATATAACAAAGATGAACCTTGAAAACATGCTAAGTGAAAGAAGACAGTCACAAAGGATGATATGTTGTATAATTCTGTTATAAAAAGTGTCCAGAACAAGCAGGTCTATAGACAGAAAACTTAGAGGTTTGGGGGGCAAAGTAAAATGGGAGTGAGTAACTGTTAAGACATGCAAAATTTCTTTCGGGCTCCATGTGCACCTTTTAGAATTAGGTAGTTAGGATGATTGTACTAAGACTCAATTGAATCCTTTAAAAGGATAGATGTGACTTAAGTCTCAAAAAAGCTGTTAGGCCAGGTGCTGGTGGCTCACGTTTGTAATCCTAGCTACTCAGAAAGCTGAGATCTGAGAATTATGGTTCAAAGCTAGCCTGGGCAGGAAAGTCCATGAGACTCTTATCTCTAGTTAACCACCAGAAACTGCAAGTGGCACTGTGGCTCAGGTGGTAGAGTGCTAGCCTTGGGCTGAAGAGCTCAGGGACAGCGCCTAGGCCCAGAGTTGAAGACCTATGACTGGCAAAAAAAAAAAAAAAAAGGCTGTTAGAGCAACAAATGATTGGAGGAAAAAATTGTAGCTCAGGAAGTGTCTGAATTGGAGGAGTGTTCTTCCAGAATGTATTTCTCCAGTGTTTTTTTTTTTCCTATCATTGTATCATCTGCATTTAATCTTTTAGTTTTGAAATTTATATATTCAATTTAGTTCCTAATCCTAATCTCAGCCACAAAATTGAGATGGGCATGTAGTTCATGAAAACAATTAAATATTTCTTCCTACTCATTTCTTCAATTAGACAAGAAGCTAGTTGATTAGAGTATAGAGTTATAACCAAATACATAATCTTTATGCCATTAATTTTTTTTACTATTCTTAGCTACACTTTTGTTTACTTTGTCACTGAACTTTAAAGCTTCAGTACTCATAACTTGATAAAATCTATTAGAGATAATCTTCCTGTCTTCTTTGAGTGATAATGTCAAAACTTGTTTATATTTCTTATTAAAACTTCATTTCACTGGGCACTGGTGGCTTATGCCTATAATCTCAGCTAATCAGAAGGCTGAGATCTAAAGATAATGGTTCAAAGCCAGCCCAAGCAGGAATTTCCTTGAGATTCTAATCTTCAATTAACCATTCAAAAGTGGGAAATGGAGTTGTTGTTCTAGTGGTAGAGTACTAGCCTTGAGCACAAAAGCTCAGGAACAACACTCAGAGCCAGAGTTGTAGCCCCACGAGTGGCATAAAAAAACTTTTATTTGGAAAGCTATTGTATTTATTCCACGGAGAGAAAATGTTTGTTTTTCCATAGTTTTCTTGTTCACAGCTGGCAGTCTACCACTTGAATTATGCCTCTAGTCTGGCTTTTTGCTGGTTATTTTGGAGATGGAATCTTTTAGACTTTTCTGCTTGATCTGGCTTTGAACCACAAAAAAAGTTTCATCCTTGTAAATAGCTAGGATTACAATTAGGAGCCACCAGTGTCTTGCTATTTCTGACTTTTTTTTGTTGGTCATGGGTGCTTGCTGTCTCTTAGCTCTTCAGCTCAAGGCCAGGACTCTACCATTTGAGCCGCAGCACCACTTCTGGCTTTTTCTGCTTATGTAGTGCTGAGGAATTGAACCCAGGGCCTTATGCAGGCAAGGCAAGCAATCTACCACTGGGTCACCTTCCCAACCCTATTTCTGACATTTTAATGATGATGGAGAACTAAAATTCTAAACAAATCGGTCTGTTGGGGAAGAAGTTTGGCAAAGCCTTTGAGTGTCTAGCTTGTTAGATCTTGCGTTGTCCTACCTAGGTCCTTGCTGTTAGAATTTGCATCCAGCTTTTTGGTCTGTTCATTGCTGAATCCGTCCTTGGTTATTAACCAGTTATATTACATTGTTTGCAATTCTGGCATGTTTTATCTGTCCAGGTTTTGGCTTAAACATTGTGATTGTTGTGTGAAATATAAAAGGCAAGTGAGGGTATAATACCAGAACAAATGTACGTACACTGATAAAACGAGTTTACTTAAGTAGGATATTAGAAGAATTATTGTTGGGCATTTGTTTTCTTGAGTCAAACTGTAGAATAAGAAAAATCTTAAATTTTCACTTTCTCTTCTTTTTGTTTGCTTTCCTTGTAGATGGTGTTCTAAAATGCTGCTGTAAATACTAAACTGACTTACGTCAAGTTGTTTGACAAAAGTAAAGTTTAGGAGAGATTAATACAAATTTAGTAAAAAAGAAGTTTGGACTATATGAACATATGAGCATTTCTTTTAGAAGTGCTATTTGAATTCTCTGAGACTTGAGTCAAATGGATTTTTTTTCATTGTGCTTCTATTTTCCTAATTGTAAAATGATATGATAGCTAATACACACTGTTAACATTACAATTATTAAAATTATAAGAAACTATACTGGGAGTGTTGTTGGTTAATGGCAATCTTGAGTCATGCACAGTGTATTTCGTTGTTAAGCTGTATATACTTAAGACTAAATAGAAAATTTAAAAGTTAAATATGCCTTTATAAAAGTTTCAAAATCAATCCAAATTAGGCTTGCTAATTTGATTTGAAACCAGATAGGGTAGAAAAGTCTGCATGACTTCCATATCCAGTTAATCAGTGAACCATCAGGCTAGAAGTTTGCTGTAAGCAAGTAGGCAAGCCAAATACGCTTGATGCCTTGAGTTAAAATCCTGGCACTGACAAATTAAAAGTAAAAGAAATTATATCCTACCATCAAATTGCAATTCATAAATTGTGGAGTCATTTCAATTCTTCTTTTCTAATGTGTTTATTTATTTATACTGATTTGTGATGCTGGGAATCAAACCCAATGATGCATGCTAGACAAAAACTAAACTACTGAGATATACTTCTTTTTCTAAGTTGAGTACTTGTTTAATATAAAATGATAGGAATAGCAAAGAATAGATCAGACAGATTTTACCATCCAGTAGGATAATTTTAAAAAACCTTACCAATTGTAGCTTTAAAATATCAGTATAATCTACTTATAGTTTGAAAAGCAGTATCTGACTTGTATACTTATTTTTGTGTTCGTAGTGCTAATCCTCCATCTGGAATTGAAGATGAAGCCACTGAAAATGGAGTACCAAAACCGGTAACATACTCATAAAGCTTTGAAGCCCAGTGACTTTCATGTTAAAATTCTTTCTCAATAACTTTATTTATTTATTTATTTATTTATTTATTTTTGGGTCGGTCGTGGGGCTTGAACTCTGGGCCTGGGCTCTGTCCCTCAGCTCTTCAGCTAAGGTGAGTGCTCTACCGCTTGAGCCACAGCACCACTTCTGTTTTCTAGTGGTTTATTGGAGATCAGAGTCTAATGGATTTTCCTGCCCAGGCTGGATTTGAACTGTGATCCTCAGATCTCAGCCTCCTGAGTAGCTAGGATTACAGGCATGAGCCACCGGTGACCGGCTATAATTTATTTAAAAATAAAATCACCAGTTAACATAACTTTAGTATTGTGTGTGACCTGGCCCCTTATATCTATCTCATCTGGTGCCATCCAAAGGACTGTATTCAGGACTTCGAAAAAGAAATAGTAGAGAAACTTCAGAGGAAATAGAGCATGTGCAAAGGGCTGATGTTTATTGTTTTCAAATAACTGAATGATTGTACAGTAACTGTATATACCACAAGAAAGCTTGGTTTTCAGAGCAAAAAGTGAATCTCACAACTTAAATGTGAATGTTGGTAGATTTTAGCCATGTCTTTTTAATGTGGTAGTCTCTGTATCAAATTGGGAAGTCCTCTCATTTATATATTTATTCTTGTAAAAAAGAAGCCAGTTTATTTTTCTGAAAACAAACTTGTAGACAGGGAAGCATTTTGCAAGATGGGTCAGTTTGCAAGATGATCAATTACAAATACAGTTTAAATAAATTAGGGTTTTTTTTTTCTAAATGGTGCCAGAAAAGTTCTATTTCTTTTTTTTGGTCGTCATGGGGCTTGAACTCTGGGCCTTGGTGCTGTCCCTGAGCTCTTCAGCTAAAGGCAGGCACTCTACCACTTGAGTCACAGCACCACTTCTGATTTTCTGGTAGTTTATTGGAGATAAGAGTCTCATAGACTTTTTTGCCTGGACTGGCTTTGAACTGTGATTCTCAGATCTCAGCCTCCTGAGTAGCTAGGATTACAGGTATGAGCCACCAGTGGCTGGCTTTTCTATTTCTTTATAGTCCTCCTATTTAATATGTAAAAGATTAAAATTATAAGTAAGTAGAAATATGTAGCACCTTTAGGAGCTTGTAACTTTTTTCTTTTAAAACTACTTCTAAGACAAAGGACAAAGGAGGAACCAATGCAATCATGATACAAGACAATATGGTTAGAAATGAACTGTACTTCTTGGGGGTGGGGTATATTGGAGAGAGGGAGAATGGGAGGAAATGAGGGAGGGGGTAACAAGTTCAACAAGAAAGGTATTCACTAACTTACAGAGATAACTAACCCCTCTGTACATCACCTTGACAATAAAATTAAATTTAAGGGCCTAGGAAGGTGGCTCAGTGGTAGAATGCTTGCCTTGCATGCATGAGGCCCAGGGTTCAATTCCTCAGCACCACATAAGCAGAAAAAGCTGGAAGTGGTGCTGTGGTTCAAGTGATAGAATGCTAGCCTGGAGCTGAAGAGCAGAGGGACAATGCCCAGGTCCAGAGTTAAGGCTCCACAACCGAAAAAAAATTAAAATTTAAAAAAGAATTAAAACAGAAAGCAACAACAAAGCTGCCTCAAAGCTGGGTACTAGTGGCTCACGCCTATAATTATAACTAATCAGAAGGCTCAGATCTGAGGATTGTGGTTCCATGCCTGCCCATGCAAAAAAGTTCCCATCTCCAATTAACCACTCAAAACCTAGAAGTTGCACTATGGCTCAAGGGATAGAGCACTAGCCTTGAGTACAAAGAGGCCCAGGTCCCGAGTTCAAGCCCCACAACTGCTGAGAAAAACTACCTTAAAACACAGGATAAATTCAGTTATTAATATAAAATATTGAAATGAATATATTTTATAATTGTTTATATTGATATAGAAAGTGACCGAGACTGAAGATGATAGTGATAGTGACAGTGATGATGATGAAGATGATGTTCATGTCACTATCGGAGATATTAAAACAGGAGCACCACAGTATGGGTAAGTTATTTTCAAGTAACACTGTATGAAAGTCATATAGCAAAAATTCTATGCCTATATCAGATGGTCAGATTGTCTGGTTGATTTCAATATTTTATTTTTATTGTGTGTGTGTGTGTGTGTGTGTGTGTGTGTACATGTGCATGCATGCCTGTGTGTGTATGTGCTCCAGTCCTGGGGCTTGAACTCTGTCTAGGTGCTGTCCCCAAGCTTTTTTGCTCAAGGCTAGTGCTCTTAATTTTGACTTGGGTGGTTAGTTGGAGACAAAGTGTCGTGGACTTTTCTGCTTGGGCTGGCTTTGTATCACATTCCTCAGATCTCAGCCTCCTGAGTAGCTGGGATTAAGTTGTTAGCCATCACCACCCATAATTACAGGTATGAGCCAGGAATACCCTGATTTTGGTGATTTCATATTTGTTAGGTAAAGGCGATACAAAAGAACATTTGTTAAAATTTCTCCAGAAAGGTAATTATTTCCTATAGATAGTTAATTAGGTAGGTAGTTGGAAGAAACAGGTTTTGATACACACACATATATTTTAAATGAATTCACTACTATAAAATTTTGGATTAAAATTGGACTTAAATTGTAATTTGAATCTATGTTATGAACCTTTAGTATTTTTTTTCTCTAGAAAAATAGTATCAAAAATAAGGAAGGGGCAGTGTTCAAAAAGAAATGTACTCATTGCCTGACTTATGTAACTGTACCCCCTCTATGTATCACCTTTACAATAAAAAAATCAAATGTATGCCTTTATACTCCTCATAGTTCATTCTTCAATGTGTGAATTATTCCTAAGGCTTCTTAAGACCAATGTATTTATTGATCTGAAGTTTTATTTTCTATGAACTGAACCAAGTTAATGGACTGTCATTGAATCACTGAATTGTCATTGACTCCCATTCCAATCTTAAGGATTGGAAAGAATTAGAATAAAGCATGAATTTTTTTTTTTTTTGGGTCCGGTCGTGGGGCCTGAACTCTGGGCCTGGGCACTGTCCCTCAGCTTTTCAGCTCAAGGCTAGCGCTCTACCACTTGAGCCACAGCTCCACTTCTGGCTTTTTGCTTTTTGTTTATGTGGTGCTGAGGAATTGAACCCAGGGCCTCCGGCATGCAGGGCAAGCGCTCTACCACTGAGCCAACTTCTCAGCCCCTAAAGCATGGATTTTTATTTTGCTATTAAATTACTGTATTTTGTTATTTAAAATTGGTTTTTAAAAATTTATTTTCCAAGTTGTGGTGCAATATGGTTACTAAAGCTTGTGCATTGGATAGATATAGCTACATTCATATCATTATAGTTTATTAAGCAGATATATTTGGGGTAAACCAATATTTACATAGTGTTGGATGTTTTATTTCCCTAGTGGAACTGCTTTTTGAAAGGCATTTATTTCAGGAATGTAATGGCTGTCCTTGTAGTTTTAATGACTTTTTAGTGAATAGGGTAGAGAAGAAACTGATTACTCATGTTGACAATAGAAATACTTTCAATGTTTCATTGAGGCAGCTGTGTAGTCCATGCTTGCCTCAAACCTCTAAATTGTTGAGATTATCGGAATATGTCACATGCATTGGACTATGCCTCTATGCCTGTCTGAAGACTAGAAATTCTTTTTTTTTTAATTTTTAAATTTTAATTATAAAGGTGATGTGCAGAGGGTTTTCAGTTACATAACTCAGGTAAAGAGTACATTTCTTTTTTTTTTCCCAGGGCTGAACACCGAACCCAGGGCCTTCCACATGCCAGGCGGGCGCCCTTCTGCTGGGCTAAACCCCAGCCCCTACATTTCTTTTTTGATAATGTACTTGCTCTCCCCAGTTTTTTTCCTCCCATCCCCAAGGGCTAGAAATTCTTATGTGGTTCTCATCTTTACTTGAGAAAGTAAAGTGTTGGGTTCATAATATGGGACTAGTAAGTCTTTTCTGCTAGTAGGCCTTTACAACTTGCACTGTGTAATCATTACAAATTTAATAAATACTATTGTATCAAATTATTTGTTTTTGTATATATAGGGCAATTTAAAGCAAATGTTGATTTAAGAGTAAAAATAATAAACCTGCCTGGTGCCAGTGGCTCATACCCGTAATCCTAGCTAATCAAGGAGGTTGAGGTCTGAGGGTCACAGTTGAAAGCCATACTGGACAACAAAGCCTTGAGACTTTTACCTCTAGTTAAACACCAAAAAAAGGCTGAAGTGGAGCTATAGCACAAGTGGTAGAGTGCTAGCCTTGAGCAAAAGAAGCTCAGGGACAGGGGGTAGGGTCCTGAGTTCAAGCCCAGGATCAGCACTAAACAAACCTAACCATGTTTTTAGGCATGAATTGTACAATGTACTTAGGACTTCCATAGTACTTTATTTTTTTCTAGTACTTTTTAGTTTCATGAATTACAGTTGAACCTTTGTGTATGGAAATTAAGGAATTAGTATACCACAATTGAGCGTATATAGGAGGAGAAGGTAAAATAAATCTATTTGGCACATTTATTTTGAAGTTTCTTTACAAAACCTAAGTATGTGGAATCTAACACCTAATATATCTTGAGATTTGATGAGGCTTGGTGGGGGTCTGTGGGAATAGAGAATATCAGACTTGCCTAAACTTAGCTAAAGCTAAGCCTCTCTACACACAATGAATATAGTGTTTTCAAGCCAGAATGAAGAATGGAAAAATTATCTGTGTAAGAAGCAAAGAAATACATTTATTTGAACACTGACAGTTAAATTATTATAGTTTTTCTATTTTTTTGTAGCAGTCCTGTAACAAGGAGGTTTATAGACAGCCCTTAATTTCTGTATACTTTCAAACTAGAACTTTTGTACATTGTATTGTGTATAGATATACCTGAGCTATGTTGGCTGTGTTGACCTTTGATTGTTAGAGTCTAAATATCATGAAGACAGGAGTCAAACCTGTATAGCTTCTCACTCTTCTTGCTTAGCTTAGAAAAGGATGGAGAGTTTTCATTCTTGACCTAATTGCTGTATAGTGAATAACTATATGGTGAGGAAATAAAGCAAAGGTGCATATAGTATTCTTGTAAAGTTTGTTAAAATGGGATATTGAGTTAGCAAGGAGACTTTTGATAGGGAAATAAGACTTTTTACAAAAACTATTAAGCAAGTGACAGATTTAAAAATTAGTATAAAATCTAAAATGTGTGAATAAATGTTAGTCTTCCCATTTGCTGTGTGGCTATTTAATAAATTGACTATATCCCTGTTTTATATATCTTATCTTTCTCAGGATAATGTTTATTTTGTTTTTAGGAGTTATGGTACAGCACCTGTAAATCTTAACATTAAGACGGGGGGAAGAGTTTATGGGACTACAGGTAAGAGATTGGTATTTATAATTAGATCAGTAGGAAATGAAGGTACACATCTTGACTAGATCATAAAGAACATTAAATAGCTCTCTCAGTGAGCAGTGTTTGACCATACATCGCAGATGTTGACAAAAGTTTTTCTGTTGATGGCCAAATGGTAAATATTGTATGCTATTCTAGCTATATAGTTTTTTGTGGTTTATTTGATAGGCACTGGGTGAAGTCAGAGCCATGCCTTCAGACTTTGTTGTTGTTGTTGTTAGTCTTAGGGCTTCAACTCTGGGGCTGGGTACTGTCCTTGAGCTCTTCAGCTCAAGGCTAGTGTTCTACCACTTGAGCCATAGTGTCACTTTGGGTTTTCTGGTGGTTAATTGGAGATAGAGTCACAAGAATTTTTCTGCCCTGGCTGGCTTTGAACCGAGATCCTCAGATCTAAGCCTTCTGAGTAGCTAAGATTATAGGCATGAGCCATGGGTGCCTCGTCTGCCTTCAGCCCTTTTTATTCTAGGGTTTTTCCAGGGCAGGCATGGACCATGATCTTCCTCTTTATACTTCTTACTATATTCCTGCCGTAGATGGGATAATAGATGTGCCCTACTTTATAGATGTGGTCTGAGGGGGAGTGTCTCATGAATTTTTTTTTCCCTTGCTGGCCTGGAGCTCTCTCAGCCTCCTATGTAGCTAGGAAGACAGGTGTGTTCCACTGTGTCCAATATTAGTTGAGATGTGTGTGCCTAGGCTGTTTTTGATTACAAGTGTGAACCAGACACCTGGCCATAATTTTTTTTTTGCTTATTTTATAACTCCTTAAAAGGTAAAGCTTAACTTCACTCAGATTATATCAAAATAGTTTTATTTTATTTTTGCCAGTCCTGGGGCTTGAACTTAGGGCTTTGGGTACTGTCCCTGAGCTTCTTTTGCTCAAGGCTAGTTCTCTACCACTTGAGCCACAGCGCCATTTCCAGCTTCTTTTGTTTATGTGGTATTGAGGAATAGAATCTAGGGCTTCATCATGCTAGGCAAGCACTCTACCACTAAGTCACATTCTCAGCCCTCAGAACAGTTTTAAAAATGGAAGTTAGCAACTTCCTGCTGTTAGTAATCTTTTCCTCCTTCATAGCAATAAGTCCCTACTCTTTCCATGCAATTCATCTTAAAGTTATACCAAGAAGTTTCACTTTACTACTTTCATTTATGGTAAACAATGCTTTGTTTAAAATGCTTGCCAGTTTTGGTGTCTGGAATAGTAAACTGGTGATGTCTCCCAGGCTTTTGCTAATCTAGTTCCTTTACTATTTTGTATTTCTGTAAAATAGGAACAAAAGTCAAAGGGGTAGATCTTGATGCACCTGGCAGTATTAATGGAGTTCCACTCTTGGAGGTCGATTTGGATTCTTTTGAAGATAAGCCATGGCGTAAACCTGGTAAGATAATTATAGATTTTATTACTTTCAAAGTATGAGGCCATCAGAAAAATACCTTTAACATTAACTTAACTTTTTTGTCATTATGTTGTTTTTTTTTTGTCCTAAGCAAAAGATGAATAATAACCACTTGTATTATTAAACCTAACTAGTGGCTAAGCATTATCATAAATGTAGACTTAAAAAATATTTTCTCAACTTCAAAAGGTTGTGCAGAGAAGTTATCAATTAATACACCATCAAAGTCTCCAGTTGCATATTTTTATTTTACTATTTCTAGCAAAATAATATTGATTAAAATGCGACATCTTTGCTTCATGGGGGTTGTTTTTCAGAACTACTGGAATTAGGGTAGTAAGACATACAAATTCTGAATTTTTATATTTGTACTTCATTGTTATTTGCACAGTAAAAATATGTTTTGTCTTTAGGTGCTGATCTTTCTGATTATTTTAATTATGGGTTTAATGAAGATACTTGGAAAGCTTACTGTGAAAAACAAAAAAGGATACGAATGGGGCTTGAAGTTATACCAGTTACTTCTACTACAAATAAAATTACGGTAATTAGTAAATATTCCAGAATAACCCTGCCTTTTCTACTATCCCATTTTGACTCCCTGGATAAGTCACTTTTTCCCCCATAAACATGATTAAATTCTACCTGATAGTTAAAAAATTTTGTTTTCTTTACCATGTTTGTTTTTTCCCCTTCCTTCCCTTTCAGGGTTTTATAATAATAATTATTTTATGTTCTTACTTTCAAGTCACGGACTAGCCACAGCTAGTTTGTCTTTATATGGCCTGTAAATTAAAAATTGTGTGGTATCCTAATGGGGAGTATGTTATTTAACTTAGGCCGAAGACTGTACTATGGAAGTTACACCAGGTGCAGAGATCCAAGATGGCAGATTCAATCTTTTTAAGGTGAATTTTAGTAAATTATCCTTGGTTGCTCTCATTTTTTTTGTTCTTGAGTCTGCTCCTGTACCACTACTCAAGGGACAAATTTAAAGTTGAAATAGCTACTTTTTTTCCAAACCTTCAGCTTCCTGGTGACTTGTGTATTTGTTAATTGTTGTTTTATCTTCACTTTTGCAAGCATGTGAATTTATAGCCTTTCATACTAACAAATGCCAAGTAAAACTATTCTCTGCTGTATGTTGTGGTTTAATTTGAGTCTAGTACATATTAATGTGAAGGATAAAAAAAGTTCACGACAATAGTTTAAGCACTAATTGTAGATCATGCTCTGTTCTTTATTATCAGAATTGGAGGCTTATTTTTCCACATTTTCTTAAAAAGTATGGTAAGGGTGTATTAACATATCATCTCTCGTGGGTATCATGTTCAAGATTCCAAAACTTTCAAGCATTCTCTTAAAAATCTGTGAGAATTTAACATAATGGAATAAAGTCACATTTTAAAAAGTAATACTGAAAAGGATTATGCTTATGTGAGGGACTTAAAGGTTGGTAGTAGCAGGTGGTATTAAGTCTAACTTCTCGCTTCTATATACTGGGTTATGATAAAGACACCCAGTTCAAAGACTAAAACTATTTTAATACTTTATTTCTTGGAATTGAGTTGAGTATTCTTTTTTGTTACCAATTTAATTCTTATATTGAGTAGCACGGATTGGGTTATATACTCAGAGAATTTTTATGATCTGGATATGGAACTCTGTGCCCCTTTGGGGACTACAAGTCCTGTCCACCAAACTACTGCCTTATGCAATGCATGTGCTATATCCGCAGATGTAGCCGCTCTGCTGGACACAGTTCTGTATAAAGAATTTAATTTTAATTTACATCCTACTGTGGGTAAGTATTTGGTTCTTGTTTTGTTGTACATATTTTGAAAGTTATTGATATTGTCCTCCCAATTTTAAATGATTGTTGGGTTCTTTTTGGGGACATTATCTACTTAGGCAACTGAATGTTTTGTTATGATTGATTATAGTGAATAGACTGAAAAGTTGTCTTTATAATAAGCTACTTTCTTTGTAGTGGTACATTTTATTTTCTTCTAACAGAAATGAGAACTGCTGTTTTACACTCAGCTTATGTACACTAGGTTTTGTTTCATAGTAGATTTCTAAAAATATAATCTAGGGGCTGGTCTCTCCTTGAAGGTAGCTGTTGTTATGTTGTTAATGTTAAGCCAGTTTATATACACATTTTCTATTGAAATATTTTAAGATTCTTAGTTATTTGAAACGAGGTCTCTGTCCCATCTATTCTGGCTATTTGATTCGAATAAAGACTTGATTTTAGATGGATATAGTCTGTTGGCTTTCTTGTCCTGAAAATGTGAATTAGAAATACTGATTTGGAAATTGGAAATAGGGTATTTTAATATTGTTTGTTGCAAATGTTTTATTCTTTAAGAGTTATTGTCACTTGTACAAAATGGTGGAAATTAGGCCATGTGAAAAAGACTAATTTTTTTAAATTTTTTTTTTTTTTGTCAGTCCTGGGGCTTGAACTCTGGGCCTGGGTACTGGCCTTGAGCTTTTACTCAAGGCAAGTGCTCTACCACTTGAGCCACAGTGCCACTTCTGGCTTTTTTGGAGTAGTTTATTGGAGATAAGAGTCTCACAGACCTTCCTGCCATGGCTGGCTTCATAACACGATCCTCAAATCTCAGCCTCCTGAGTAGCTAGATTACAGGCCACTGGTGCCCAGCGAAATAGCTTGAAAATCTAGTGTATCAAAAAGAAATAATAGATTTGTCTTTAGTGAAGAAATAATCTATTAGCTGCTTTAATAGAATTAAAAAAATTAAATAATGTAATTTCAAGCATGGTAGCAATAGAAATACTGCAAAAGAACCCTTAGGTATTTATTATGCAGGTACAAAGGCTATGAACATTTTCAGTGTTTTATTTATTTCCGTGTTTATAAGGCTTTATTTATTTATTGAGATTAAAGTGTCCCAGTATTTCTGTAGCTCAGGTCCAGCCTTGTCTTCCACTCACAATCCTGCCTCAAGTGCTTAAATTTCAGACACGTGGCAAGTCCTGTCTTGTTTTTTTTTTTTAATAAAACGAAATAAAATGATGAAATTTAATCAGGTGTAAAATTTAAGTGGCTAAAGTGCAAAAACAGTTGTATAATTATAATTTAGGATAAGGGGCAGAAGAGAAGTGACAGGAATGGGTAACATGTATGTAAGAGAAAATGGACCACAGCTTTTTCAATTTTCTTTTTTTTAATTTTCTTTTTTCCAGATCTGGGGCTTGAACTCTGGGACTGGGCATTATCCCTGAGCTTCTTTTGCTCAAGGTGAACGCTCTACCACTTGAGCCACATTTTTGAGTAATTTGCTAGACATAAGAGTTTCATGGACTTTATTGCCAGAGCTGACTTTGAACTGCCTTTTCTAAAAGTATTTTTATAACCATATGTGCACACATGTACTGCGTACGTATGCATTGCTGTTTTTCCTCTATAGAAGTATTACTTTGTAGGGGCTGGGAAGGTGGCTTCGTAGTAGATTGCTTGCCTTGCATGCATGAGGCCCCAGGTTCAATTCCTCACCACCACATAAGCAGAAAAAGCTGTAAGTGGTGCTGTGGCTCAAGTAGTAGAGTGCTAGCCTTGAGTTGAAGAGCTGAGGGACAGCACCCAGGCCCAGAGTTCAGGCCCCACGACTGGAAAAAAAAAAAAAGTATTACTTTGGTTTCTTATTTGTATGGACATGCATTATATATATTATTTATAATATATATAATGCATGTACATACATATGCTTGTATTTGTATGTGTATGCTTGTTCCAGGATGTTGAACTCAGTGCTTCAAACCATTACTGGGCTTTTTCTGCTTCTGGCTGGTGCTCTACTACCTGAACCAGGCCTCTAAGTTCCAGCTTTTTGCTATAATCTCTTTTTCTTTTGCAAAGTCCTTTCCCTCTCTATCTTAAAGGATATTAATGATAATGTTGATAACTCTTCAGTGGTCTGTTTCAAGTTGACTGTTTTAGATTATGAATTGGAATTTGCTCAAATAATTGTTGGTCATTAATGTAGGTATGGGATTGGAAACTTTATAGTGAATATAACTTGTTGACTATAGGTTTTCCACTAAGTTGTCTTTTTCACATATTAGTATCTTTAGGTTATTTTGCTTCTTTTTATGGTAATCTGGGCTTTCAGAGAAGACATTCCAGTTTCCTTCCTAAAGAATATATAATTTTATCAGCTTTCAGACTTCCATTGCATTCTCAATTTTTTGTTTTTGTGGGTTGAAATAAACATTTGATGATTCATATATGGCTTTCAATTTTTATTTTTAACATCTTAACATTTCAAATACATTTTCATATACAATTTTTTAATAATTATGACTGATAATTGTAAGATAGTTATATAATCTCTTGAGGTTGCATACCATAGCTAAGAAATTTCTTTTAAAAATTATTGTTGATAATGTTAAACTTTTGTAAATTATGCTATGATAGCCAGCCACAGAAGTTTAAAAAATAATTCCAAAGCTTTTGGTATAACAGAAGCATAATTTGCTAGTATTTATTTAGCTTCTCAGGCTTACAAATTAGGTTTGTTTAGATTTGTAAGATCTGACATGAATTTGCTTTAAGGAAATCGGTTAAAACATCTTAAGATAATCTCTTAAATTGGTAGGTTATTTGAAATAGAACTCTTTGTTCTACTTTGACATCTTGAGTACCACATCTGAAGACAAATAGACAATGATAATTCAAGCCAACTAGGAAAGTTGCTACAGTGGTCAGGAGTCTCCAAACTAACATAATGACTATGTTATCAAGAAACTAAGCATAAAGGAAAAGTTAGAATCACAAGCAATTTTTTTTTCTTATTTTTATTTTTGGGTCCAGTCGTGGGGCCTGAACTCTGGGCCTGGGTGCTGTCCCTCAGCTCTTCAGCTCAAGGCTAGCACTCTACCACTTGAGCCACAGCGCCACTTCCGGCTTTTTTTTTCTGCTTATGTGGTGCTAAGGAATCGAACCCAGGGGCTCATGCATGCAAGGCAAGCGCTCTACCACTGAGCCACCTTCCCAGCCCCTCACAAGCAATTTTTACATGTAGAAAAATTCACTTTGATTGTGGAAAACAAAGTTTTTAAATTTAAAACACTACAAATACTACTGACATAAGATCCAGAAATTAGTATCTTCAATATTATTTGCCTTAAATACATATATAATGTCATTTCTTATAATTGATCTTTTATCAAGTTTATTGATGTATAATTGTGTCAAACAAACTGCATCCATGTAAATCAAACAATTTGATAAGTTTAGACAGATACCTACATACCATGCAACTATCATGATGGACACTTAGAACATTTCTATCACTCTGCAATATTTCCCTGTGTTCTTTGTGCTTCTTTCTCTCCCTGGTCACTCCTGGAGCCTTCTAGTTCATGTTAATTTAATCTAATTTTATTTTGTCAGTCATGGGGCCTGAACTCTGGGCCTGGGCTCTTCATCTCAAGGCTAGTGCTACTACTTGAGCCACAGTGCCACTTCTGGCTTTTTCTGTTTATGTGGTACTGAGGAATTGAACCCACGGCTTCATGCATGCGAGGCAAGCACTCTACCACTGAGCCACCTTCCCACATTAATTTTATTAGACTTCTTTAATTCAACACAATCATTTTGGATTTGTCACTATTGGGTCGTATACTGGCAGAGTCTTTTTTGTGTGTGTGTGAGGGACTGGTCTGAACCATTACCTCCTGTTTATATGTCCTGAATAGCTGGGATGACAGGCATGTACCACTACTCCTAGCTATTTTTTGTTGAGATGGATATTTTTGTTGTTTTGTTTTGTCCAGCTTCCTTCAGAGCATCATTTTTCAGATCTCTATTGCACCTGGCTCCTAAATTAATAATTCAATACTGATTTAAGATAGGAAGATTATTATAAAAAGGAAAAGAATAAGGAATTCAAGCATCTCAGTCTACTGAACTGGCAGGATATGGTATTGTTGATTGTGATAGGTAGGTGGAGAAAGGGTGTGCATGGCAGGAGCAGATTCTCATGCATGTGTTGTGGCAAGCCACGGTTTAAAATAGAAAATGGTCAACGTGGCTAAAATAGTCCTTCAGTAAGAGTAGCGAACACAGGAAAATCCTATTTAAAGCCTTTCTCAGTTACTGAAACGTGGAGCCAGAGTCAAGTAGTTCATTTGGATTTGTTGGTATTGATTGGAGGAATTTGTGAACGTCTCAAAGAATTACAAAGAATTACTGGACTTTTGTCCCATAATCCATCTTTGATGCCCTTCAACTAATGTTAATCTAAAATGAATCAATTTGAATAAAGACTCAGAATGAAACAATCTTCACAGTTATTTTCAAATAAGTTGTTATAAACTTATTTTAATCTTAAGCATTGTATTTGAATGTTTTATTAAATTAAACTAATAACCCAATTTTTGTTTCTGGTTTTTATTTTTGAAGGTACAGCAGGGGAGAACAGGAAATTCAGAGAAAGAAACAGCACTTCCATCTACAAAAGCTGAGTTTACTTCTCCTCCATCTTTGTTTAAAACTGGACTTCCACCTAGCAGGTTAGACAATTTGAACTCAATTATTGTAAGGTCATTGTCTCTTTATTTTGTATTTATGCTGTATTAAGTGTAAATCCTTGTAATAAAGAATTTATACTTTTGAACTGGGCACTAGATGCTACTCTGGAGTTTGAGATCTGGGGATCATGGTTTGAAGCTGGCCTGGGCAGGAAAAGCCTGTGAAGCTTTTATCTCCAGTTTATCACCAGAAAACCAAAAGTGGAGCTGTTGATCAAAGTGATAAGATGCTAGCTTTGAACGAAAAGACCAGGGACATTGCCCAGGTCATGAGTTCAAGCCCCATGACTCACCAAAAATAAATAAATTAATTAATTAATACTATTTTGAAAGTGTACCATCTTAAACACTCTAGATGAGCAAAAAATGAAGCACAGCGTACAGTTCTGGGTATATCTAAAGATACTTGTAATATACAGTATTCTTTTGACTTTTCAAAATTTTAAAAAGATCCGTGAGTTTCTGAGGTTCTGCAGTACAGAGTAGTTGGGAGTTTACAATCTGGAATTGTGTCCTTTTTTTTTTTTTTGGTCCTGTCGTGGGGCTTGAACTCTGGGCCTGGGCACTGTCCCTCAGCTCAAGGCTAGTGCTTTAACACTTGAGCCACAACGCCACTTCCGGCTTTTTTCTTTTTGCTTATGTGGTGCTGAGGAATCAAACCCAGGGCCTCATGCAAGCAAGGCAAGCACTCTACCACTGAGCCACCTTTCCAGCCCTGGAATTAAGTTTCTAGGCTCTACAACTTACTAGTTGTTTGTCCTTGGGTAGCTCTCCCTTGTTAGGCCTGGATTTCCTAATTTGTAAAATGTAATAATACTTGTAATCAAGACTAAAAAGCATATATGTAAGTCATGAGGTGTGCTATTGACCTTATATATCCATTGCTAAAATCTTAGATTGCTTTGTTAATGTTCAGATATTTATATGTTCATGCAGAACTTCTAAAAATGTTTTTAGATACTTTACCCGTAGAAATGCTGAATTTCTAACAATGTACTTACTGCAAAATGGCATATTTAAGTAAATGCAATATTTAATCTAAGAACATTTTGCTTAATCTTCCAAAAAGTTTGTGTATTGTTTTCCTTTTTGAAGTATATACAAACAGAAAAGTGACATTGAGTGTTCACAGTTTGATAGTTTTTTCACACATTGAACATATTCCTATTAAACAGCTCATAGAAAAACAGTATGACCATTCTACGGGAGTTTGTTATGTCCCTTTCATTTTTAAATGTTTTATTTAGGCAAAAATTCAGACTTAGTAAGAATTGCAAGAAAAGTACTAAAAACTCCTGTATGTGCACATTATTATATTTGCTATATAATTTCTAAGACATTTTTCTTTCTGAGTCATTGAATACTGTGGCTATTATTTCCCTCTATTCCTAAGTATTTTAGTATGTTTTTCTTAAGAACAGGGGCATTTTTGTTACATATCAAGGCAGAGTTACCAAAGTCAAAAAAGTCTAATAATCAATATTTAATATGCAAATTAATTTAGCCAGTTGCCTCATTAATGATGTTCTTTTATTGCAGTTCTTTGCTTCTTGATTCATTACATCCAACTGTTCTATCTCTTTATTTAAAAGCTACAACAGTTTTTTGGTCGTTGATTATATTTTGTGACATTGAATTTTAGGAGCACAGCTAGTTGTTTAGTTCACAATTTGTATTTACCTGTTGTCTTCTGATTAGTAGATTTCGTGTTGCTCTTGGAACTGGAATACTATATAAATGTGTTCTTCTCAGTGCATTAGCCTGGATATGCATGATACTAGTTTGTCCTGTTATTTTAATTGCAATGTGATAACCTTAATTGATTACTTATGGTAGTGTTCTATGAGTGTCTGCATTGTGAAGTTACTGGTTTCCTCTTTCTAGTTAGTAATATGGGCACTGGACTGTTGCTCAGTGATAAAGTATTTACCTAGCACACAGAAAGCCCTCGATAGAATACTTAGCAGCACCACATAAATTTTTTTAAAAAATTGTGGGAAAATTCAGTATAAATCTTGCATTTCTCTTTCAAGTTTTCAATAGTTACAGCATCCATTAGTAATTTTTACTTTAATATGCCACTATTATAATGAGTTTAGAAAGTAGTTATTAACACTCAACATTATTAGTTGGTATTCTGCTTTAAAAAACAACTCCTTCTCTACTTAACTATCACTAAGACTCCTTAATTTGTATTTAAAAAACAACTCCTTCTCTACTTAACTATCACTAAGACTCCTTAATTTGTATTTTTGCAGGGAAGGGATTGTTTTAGAGATAGGGTCTTGTTCTTTGAGCTCCTAGCTGGCCCAAAGTCAAATCTTTTTGCCTTAGCTCCTGAGTGATACAACATCAGGCTAGGTTCATTCTTTCCTATTTTATTCGTGAGGAAAGCTGTATATGTAGTATATATACCATTTGTAGCATTAAACATGGTAATTCAATGTTACGCTCAAATCCCTCTAAAATTAGTGGGAGTCTTTTCAAACCTGGCGTCTGTAACCCTTGACATGTCTTTATTTTGGAACATTCTTTACTTTTTAACATTATCAAACTGTATTAATTTTTTTTCCTTTTCATTATTTCTTTTTGTTGTTGTTGGTCATGGGGCTTGAACTCTGGGTCTGGGCACTGTCCTTCAGCTCTTCAGCTCAAGGCAAGCACTCTACCACTTGAGCCACAGTGCCACTTCCAGCATTACCAAACTGTTAAAAATTTATCCTGTACTTTCCCTGCTTTTTCCCAAAAGCTGTCAGTTTATTTTTTTCTTTCATATGTATCTCTATCTAGATAGAGATATAGATAACATATATTAATACCATGGCTTTAAACTTAGGATTTTGTGCTCTTACTTGGTTTTCTTGTTCAAGACTAGAGACATGTCAGCATGTCTCCAGTTTGGTATTTGGTGATTAATTGAAGTTGGAGTTTCACAGACCTTTTTGCTTTGGCTGGCTTTGTACCTTGATCCTCCAGGCCCCACCAGCCTCTGAGTAGTTAGGATTTAGGATTTACAGGAATGAGCCATGGAACACCTGGCTTGATTTATCCAATTCTTGAAGATAGTCTTTCCTTTTAGCAAAAAATAATAATTAAATATCAAGACTAGGTTATTGGGTGTATTCATTGTACTTGAATATCATTTTTTCCAGGCCTTTTTAGCACTAAGCTGAGGGGGGGGGGAAACCCACAATTTTACTATGAAATTACCATACTCTTTTGCATAATTTTACATATTGCTAATCATATGAATCTCTTTTTACATACTTTTAATATCATGTTTCTTTTATATCCAGTTAAACACTAACCTCCCCTTCTCCTTCTGCATGCCCTCTCCCTCCTCCCCCGCCGCATCTTTAATGCCAGTCCTGGAGTTTGATCTCAGGGCCTGGACACTGTCCCTTTTTTTCTGTTCTTCAGCTCTCCTTTTGGCTTTATGTGGTTAATTGGAGATAAAGGTCCCACAGACATTTCTGCCCTGACTGGCTTTGAACCATGGTCCTCTGATTCAGCCTCCTGAGTAGGTATTTTAAGATATGAGCTACTGGCACCCATCTCCCTTTGATTCTCAAAGACTTGAGTATAAATACTCATTTCAGTGAATACAATCCATAATAGATTCATATGTAAGTTCTACATTTAACTGTTACAAAAATAAACCATTTGGCTGGGAAGGTGGCTCAGAGGTAGAGTGCTTGCCTTGCATGCTGGGTTTGATTCCTCAGCACTACATAAATAGAAAGCTGGAAGTGGCGCTGTGGCTCAAGTGGTAGAGCACTAGCCTTGAGCTGAAGAGCTGAGGGAAAGTATCCAGGCCCAGAGTTCAAGCCCCAAGACCGACCAAAAAATAAATAAACCATTAAATGGAGTCGAGCCACCAGTGCCTATAAGTTCTTGGTTCTTTTACATTCCTGTATTTTTACATTGTATGTTGAAGTATGTGTCTGTGTAGTGGGTGGGTGTGTGGGTGTGCGCACGCACGCGTGCGTGTACGTGCATTTATTTTTTTGTAAGTCTCAGGGCCTGTGTTCTGTCCTTGGGACTTTTTGTGCTCAAGGCTAGCACTCTACCGCTTGAGCCACAGCTCTACTTCTTGCTTTTTGATGGTTAATTGGAGATAAGAGTCTATGAACTTCTTGCTCAGTCTGGCTTTGAACCTCTATCCTCAGATCTCAGCCTCCTGAGTAGCTAGGTTTACAGGCATTAGCCATTGGTTCCTGGCAGAAGAAGGTTATTTTTAAAAATAAAGTTGATGGATGCTGATGGCTCACACCTGTAATCCTAGCTACTGAGGTGGGTGAGATCTGAGGATTACGGTTCAAAGCCAGAACAGGCCATGCGAACAGGCCATGAGAGTCTTATCTCTTAATTAACCAGCAGAAAATGAGAAGTGGACCTGTGGCTCAAGTGCCCAGGCTCAGAGTTCAAGTCCCATGACCAACCAAAAAAAAAAAAAAAAAAAGTAAAAGTTTGTAAGGTGTATATGTTTAAATGCCACTAGTAGTCTCAGTACCATTACAAATTATGTGATTTGGAAAGAATCCTACTATAGGACCAAAGACTTTAAATAATGCATGTGAAGGAAAAAAGTAGTAAAACCAAAAGGGGGGGGGGGGTTACAGACAATAATATGTAAGAAAAACAATTTATCTCAGCAGAAACAGCACCTCTTCTCAGTCTCAGACAAGTACTGCCTCGAGAAAAGCCAATTCAAGTGTTGGGAAGTGGCAGGATCGTTATGGAAGGGCCGAATCTCCTGATCTAAGGTAAGGCTTTTTAAAAAACATTGGATACTGTGTTATGTTTAGATCTTCTATATTATTTTGTCTCTTTAGTAAGATAGCAAATTGCTGATTAAATTATACCATGCTTTACCTCTCAGATTATGTTTTTTGGGGGGGACACCACTGAAGGACTTTTTCTTTTTCTTTTTGTCGGTCATGGGGCTTGAACTCTGGGCCTGGGCTTGTCCCTCAGCTCTTTAGCTCAAGGCGAGCACTCTTGATCCACTTGAGCCACAGCACTACTTCTGGTTTTCTGGTGGTTTATTGGAGATATGAGTCTCACGGACTTTCCTGCCCAGGCTGGCTTTGAACCGTGATCCTCAGATCTCAGCCTCCTTCGTAGTTAGGATTATAGTTAGGATTATACCAGCACCCAGCTTTTCTTTTTCTTTTTTCACTTTTTTTCACTTTTGTGTGGCTTGAATTCAGGACCTGTGCACTGTCCCTGAGCTTTTTCACTCAAGGCTAGCACTCTATCACTTTGAGCTCCTGCTCCACTTCTGGTTTTCTGGTGGTTAGTAGGAAATAAGAGTCTCATGGACTTTCTTGCCCCAAGTCTGTGAGACTCTTATCTCCAATTAACCACCAGAAATCTGGAAGCTGTGCTGTAGCTTAAGTAGTAGAGCACTGGGCTGGAGCTGAAGAGCTTAGGGACAGTGCTGAAGCCCAGAGATCAAGACCCATGATGAACCAAAAAAAATAAAAATTATTTGTGATATGTTTAAAGGTTCATTTGAGGCCAACTTTTAAATTTCTCAAAGATGAGTTAGCTTGCTGAAAGTAAACATAGTTCAAAGGAAAGAGGTCTTATAGGCTTTAGCATTAAAAATTTCAGGTTTGAAAATGAATTTTGCTGTTTATTACATAGATTAATGACCCTGTTCTGAATCCTGACTTTGACATGACTAACAAATATGCACCAAGAAAAATTGTTCTATATGTTCTATATTTGTCAAAGTGAGCATTATTTTTCTGAAGCCTTGTTGGGGAAATTTAAAAGTTTCTGTAATATAATTCTGGTATGTGTTATAAATTACACTAGAATAATTATTACCTAGAATAGTATTTCAGTTTGACTAACATTTGCTATCTGATTCAGTTCCTTAATGATGTGTCTAATACCAGATCACTTAAAATTAGTTTATTTAGAAGAAAAGTCATACAGATACTTAAATTTTAACATCATGATTATTTCTGAATGTGTTGGTTCTAGCTTAATAAAAAAAATTACAATCCAAAGTAATGAGTTAAATCTTTGAATTATTAGTAATTTTTAATATATTACAAATAATTTTAGTTTTTATTTCTACTAAATACTGCTTTTCAAACATCTGAATTGATCCATTTTTTGTTTTAGGAGATTACCTGGAGCAATTGATGTAATTGGTCAAACTATAACTATTAGTCGAGTAGAAGGAAGGAGACGTGCAAATGAAAACAGCAATATACAGGTTATAATCTCTGGGTTTCTCCTAGAGTTTTCTTTTTCCTTGTTAGAAACTTAGTAAGTAGGTTCACTAATAATTCTACACTTACATGTCACATTTTAACTGCTATTACAGTTCATGCTACTTAGCAAAATTGTGTTTTTGTTGTTTTGTGTATCCTTTCGTTCATGTAAAATTATTCATATTTTCCTACATTTAAAAAATATGATTTTAAAATCTCTTTATGATAGTTCCATTGTATAAATCATCATTATGTATCTTCCTTTTCTGAGTAAAATAGAACTCCTTCGTTAATTTTTTGTAGTTTTTTCCTTTTTTTGTGCCTGTCCATGGGTTTAAACTCAGAGCTTGGGCACTGTCCCTAAACTTTTTTTCCCCAAGGTTAGTGCTCTATCACTTGAGCTACAGCTTTAGCTTTTTGGTAGTTAATTGGAGATTAGAGACTTCTTTGCCTGTGCTAGCTTTGTACCAGGATTCTCAGATCTCGCCTGCTGAAAAGCTAGGATTATAGGTATGAACCACTGGGGCATGGCTAGAATTCATTTGTTATTAGGTGAATAGAATTCAGTAACTGACATTGCCAACTGTTTCTCTTGGCCATATTTTTTCATTATTTCTTTGTCTGGATACCTAAAAAATGTTGAAATGATGCCCAGTAATCCTAGGTACTCAGGAGGGTGAGATGTGAGGATAAAGGTTCAAAGCCATCCTGGACAGGAAAGTCCATGAGACTCCAATAAACCACCAGAAAACCAGAAGTGGTGCTGTGGCTCAAGTGGTAGAGCACTAACCTTGAGCTGAAGAGCTCAGGGACAGCGCCCAGTCCGAGTTCAGGGCCCATGACTGACCAAAAAAAAAAAAAGTCAAAATGAGCCAGTTGCTGGCAGATAGATACCTGTAATCCTAGCTACTCAGTGGGCTGAGAGCTGAGAATCATAGGTAGAAGTCAGCCCAGGCAGGAAAGTCCAAGAGACTCTTATCTTCAATAGCAGGGAGCAGAGCTTGTCTCAGGTGGTAGAATAGCCTACAGCACAAAAGCTCAAAGACAATGCCCAGGCCAAGAGTTAACCCAGAACTTGCATACTTATAACACACATATACACACAAAATCAAAATTGTTTTGACACTAATTATGTAAATGTGTTACATTAAGATGTTTTAACATTTTTATATCTTTAGGATAATTGCTTTTTCTTCTGTTACTAACGTGCCATGCTCTTAAAAAATAATTGTTTCTGAGTTTTAAGATACTGAGTAGAAACCTTATTAAAATTCACATATTGGTGTATTGAAAATCAATACAAAGAGAAATTACATGTTTAAATGATGTGCTTTAGTCATCAAGGATTAAAGATATATAAATTAAATTTACAGCATTAATTTGACGTTTTAAACTACTTCCCAAATGTAATTGCGCATCTGAGTATCTCAGGTGACTTTTAAAAGGTCCAGATTTGGGCTGGGAAGGTGGCTCAGTGGTAGAGTGCTTGCCTTGCATGCATGAGGCCCTGGGTTCGATTCCTCAGCACCACATAAGCAAAAAGAAAAAAGCCAGAAGTGGTGCTGTGGCTCAAGTGGTAGAGCGCTAGCCTTGAGCTGAAGAGCTGAGGGACAGCACCCAGGCCAGAGTTCAGGCCCCATGACCGGACCCAAAAATAAAAACAAATAAAAGGTCCAGATTTCTAGGTGCCAATATGGGTGGTGTTATATTTCATTAGGCTGAAGGTGCTTCTGTAGGGTGCCTATCTCTTGCCTGTTCACACAGATTTTGCACACTATTTTACTTTTACAGTATAAATCTTTACTGTCAAAGTTACATGGTTCACGTAAAAAGTCTTAACTGCCTGCTACTTGCAACCAATTGTTGGAAGCATTGTAGTCTCTTACCTTGCTGCATGGTTGTGACACATTGATTGGCACAGTGAATGTTTGAATGTTGTGTTAATTTCTTAGGGCTGTATCTACATGGTTAGTGATTACATTATTTTAACTTAAATACTTTAACTTTGGTTGGGATAGAAATACAGTATTTATTGCATTATATTTGTAAGGTATTTGTTTTTTATTTGAAGTGTTATTATTTCTCAATACCTTTTCTTTTTTTCTTTTTTCTTTTTTTTTTTTTTTTTTTTGTCGGTCGTGGGGCTTGAACTCTGGGCCTGGGCGCTGTCCCTCAGCTCTTAAGCTTAAGGCGAGCGCTCTACCACTTGAGCTACAGCGCCACTTCCGGTTTTCTGGTGGTTTATTGGAGATAGGAGTCTCTCCTGCCCGGGCTGGCTTTGAACCGCGATCCTCAGATCTCAGCCTCCTGAGTAGCTAGGATTACAGGCGTGAGCCACCAGCACCCGGCTCAATACCTTTTCTTGGTGATAATGCAGTTATTTTCTTTAACCTTTGAATACGAACATTTAAAGAAGTATGAGTGTAGGCTCACATATGCATATGTAAACATGCAACACAAAGAAATACTATCCCTAAAAACATGTATTTGAATTAAATTATTTAATTTATTGCTTAGGCCAAATGAAATAATTTACTAAGATTAAGTTTAGATAACATAACATTTACTCACCTTTCTCGTTTGCTGTGCTCTTAATTTTAGGTCCTTTCTGAAAGATCTGCTACTGAAGTAGACAACAATTTTAGCAAACCACCTCCATTTTTCCCTCCAGGAGCTCCTCCTACCCATCTTCCTCCGCCCCCCTTTCTTCCACCTCCTCCAACTGTCAGCACTGCTCCACCTCTGATCCCACCACCAGGTAAATAGTAAAAAAAGGTATTTGATTTTTGGAAGCAAATAACTTTTTAACAATTTTCAGTTAAAAAAATTTTTTTAGTTTAATAGTGAAAGTATATTCTCAAAATATTAGGAGTAATGGCATTGAATTAAAAGTTGTAGTTATGATAATTATTTTGTCTTTAACAGATTCACAGCAAAATAGATTACACATGCCTTTCTATTTCAGCAAAACAGAGACAATATTCTACAATAAAGAATATATAGATACTAAAACTGAACAAAAAATATGGTAGTAGTCCTGAAACTAAAGTTGCTATTGGTGTATGTATAAATCCATACTGAATTGTTAGCAATATGTTAACTTGTTTTTGAAAAAAAATTAAAGATACTTTTATCACATTTTTAAATTACTTTTTATTCTTAAGAAAAAATCCCCAACTTTTATTTTTATTTATACTTTAATCTTTCATTTGGTGGCTTTAAAATTTTTCCTTCCAGTAAGTTTTCAATATTTGTTCCTCCTAATGGGGTTTTTATGAAACTAACAAGATTAAGTGTTTAGTTATTTCTTCCCAAGGAGAGTGTCAGTAGCAAATGATCGAAGTTAGCAGCTAGTTTTAATCCGAATTATAGGGAGAAATTAGGAATTCTGGTAGTAAAGCATTTTATTCTAAAAACCCATGTACTCTTACTCTACTTTGCGAGAGAGCCACCTTTGCTTTGTAGTGCCCATTGTGACCAGAGTACAAAGCCAGATAATAGTCTTCCTATTGTGTTCTTACCTAATAAGTTCATCCTTACCCTCTAAATGTCAGCTATTTTCTCTTCTCTTCATCCTCAACACCTTTGATTTCCTTTCATTATCAACTCAACTCCCACAAAGACGAAAACAGTGTTACAAAAATTGATTCCTGGCTTAGAAAAATCTTTTGTCTGAAAATGGAGGAAGAGTGAAATAGTTGAGGTGTGTGCCTCTGCCAGTTAACATTATTTCTAAAGTTTAATGACTTGAAACTGCTCATTTAAGTGCAGACCATTTGTAGGTTGGGATTGAACCTGGTTCTTGTGTCTTTACTATGTTCAGAATTAACCAAATGGTAGAGGACTTAATGTTGATAGCCAAGACTTAAAATAATTCACAAGTGAATCCTTATCCTCTGATAAAAAAGATTTGGAAAATATTTTTTGATTATTTGATTAGTGAGATTAAAAATGATAAATGTGGGCTGGGAAGGTGGCTCAGTGGTAGAGCGCTTGCCTTGCATGCATGAGGCCCTGGGTTCGATTCCCCAGCACCACATAAGCAAAAAGAAAAAAGCCAGAAGTGACGCTATGGCTCAAGTGGTAGAGTGCTAGCCTTGAGCTGAAGAGCTGAGGGACAGCGCCCAGGCCCAGAGTTCAGGCCCCACGACCGGACCCAAAAAAAAAAAAAGGTAAATGTTTGTGATATTAGTCCTAATTCTGAATTTCCTTATCCTTTTTTTTTTTTTTAAATTTAATTTTATTTGTGAACATACTGTACAGAGGAGTTACAGTTACATGGGCAGGATAATGCGTACATTTCTTACCAAGCATTGCAGCCTCCTCCTTTGTTTACCCTTCACATCCCTTCCCAGCCTCCCCCCTCCCTAATCCCAATCCTTCTCCTTCTCCCCCCCCCCCCCCCCCCCCCCCCCCCCCCCCCCCCGCACCAACGTTGTAAAGCTCGTTTTGGACATGACAACTTGTACTTCTCATTGTTGCAACAGGTCCACCTGTATCCTTAAACAACTGGTTTTTCCCCATCTCCTCCACAAGTTATACTGACATCAAATATAGTGAAAGCAGGGGTTTCCTTATAATCTTTTTAAATTATTTTAAATATAAAGAAGATTTGAAAAAGATTTCTTTTTTAAGAACTTTAAATATCTGAGTTATTTTTAATTGATAATTGTTCATGTTTATGGGATACATTATGATGTGTTATGTATTTACATTATGTAATCATTTTAAGCTAGTTAACAAGTATATCACCTCACATTCTCACCAGGTTTTGTAATGAGAATATTCCATATCAATTTTGAAATATATAGTTATTTGCTATGGTTAACTGTTCTGTACATTAGATCTCTAAAACTAATTTTTCTTTCTAACAGAAATTGTGTATCACTTTGATCAAAAGGTTCCATTTCCACCCTCATACCAACCACTAGTACCTCATCTCCATTCTGCTCTCTACTTTCTAAATATTTTACATATAAGAGATATTGTAGAGTATTCCTCTATACCTGCCCTAGTTCACTTTGCAAATGACAGATTTTTCTTTCTTATTTTTCTTATTTAAGTATTAGTATGTTCAAATGGCTGACATTTTTATGTCTATTACCAGCCTTTTTTATGTTAAGATTGGGGAAAAGTGATGTGATTTAATCGAAAAAAAAAAACCAACTAGAATATTTCTGATTGTCAATGGCATTTATGTGAAAGTTTACTTTCACATGTTAAGGTTACTCCATGTCTTATAACATCTTTGAGTGATGTATGAATTGCTGATGGCATTATATTGTAGTTCAATTGATTGGTTTTTTGTTGTTGTTGTTGTTGTTGTTACTTAATGTATTTATCTTAGTGTTAAGCTCCATGATCCCTCTTTAGGTTTCCTTTGATGCTTATTCATGAATTATGTTTTGCTGCTGCCATGTCAATATTGAAGGAAATATATTCAAATGAATTGTAATCCTGAAAATAGTACCTAACTGTGGTGTATATGGTAGGGGAGGGTGTTTTCAAAGTGATATTAAAAAAAAATTCTAAGTTGGGACTGTCTGAAGAACTATATATTTTTGCTAACTATAAGCTTTTGGAGAGAAGGAATAGTATATTTTCATGTTTTCTTATAATAGTGCTGTGTGTACTCAGCATTCCCTTAATATGTTGGCTAATTAAGTTAACTACATATTTAATGTTTTTGTAATACCAAAAATAGTTTTCAGATTATCAGGTGGTATGTTCAGTCAAAACTTACATTACCTCTAAATAGCAATATGGCTTCATAGACATAATGTAGGCCCTGCTAAAAACTATATATTCAGTTGTCATTTGCTACATGACTACACTGTATTCTGTAGTTTGTTGCAAATTAAATTACATTGGGAATCACAAGCAGCTAAAAAGTGAAAGGCATGGCTGAAGGGGGAGTCTTTGCCTATTGCCTTAAAAGATATTGCCTTTAATCTTTTGCTTTCTTTGAAATGTAAAGGGCACTGCCCCTGAGCTTTTCTGCTCTATGTTAGTGCTTGTATGTATGTATTTTAGTGTGTGTGTGTGTGTTTAATTGGAGGTAAGAGTCTTAGGACTTTCCTGTCTGTGTTGGCTTTGAACCATGATCCTGAGATCTCATTCTCTTGAGTAGCTAGGATTTTAAGCCTGAGCCACCAGCGCCTGTCTTAAACGTTGGTTAAAAAAAAATTAATTTGCTTTATTGTTATTATAAGAGGTAATATGCAGAGGGGTTACATATACATACATCAGGTAATGAGTACATTTCCTTTAGTACAGTGTCATCTGCTCCGTCTTTCTCTCCCATTCTCTCCCTTCCATCTCCACGTTTAAATTGTGTTTTTCCTTGGGTTCTCTGCCTTCCTCCCACCCTTCTACAGATATGCACATAAATATACTGTATATAATGTAAAGAATTCAGACTCAACAACAAAAGATAAAACAAATTAAGAAAAGAGGCCTTTGTTTCCATATTGTTGGAGTTTGTTTTGGTATGTATATTATTTTGTAGACATATGAAGAGGTGCTTGGGTATTGTACAGCTTTATATAAAAGTACCTAGAATCCTGTGTAATTTGTCATATCCCAGTGCATTTTAGATCTAACTTTTGCATGTCAGAGAGAACATTCTCCATTTGTCTCTGATCTTGGCTTATCTTGTTTAACATGATTTCTTCAAGTTCCGTCCATTTCCCTTCAAATGACATTATTTTATTCTTTGAGCTAGCTGTGTAAAATTCCTTTGTATATAGGTATCACACTTTTTGGATCCACATATCTATTGTGGGGTATCTAGATTATTTCCATATCTTGGCAATTATGAATAGTGCTGCAATGAACATGGATGTTTAGGTGTCCTTACCATATCCTGGTTCATGATACTCAGGGTAGATGCCTAGGAATGGTATGGGTGGATCATAGGGAATCTATGTTTAGTTTTTTGAGGGACCTCAAACTGCTCTCCAGAGTGATTATACTAGTTTACATTCCCACCAGCAGTGAAGTAGGATTCCTTTTTCCCCATATCCCCACCAGCATTTGTTGTTTGAATTCACAATGTTGGCCAATTCTGACTGGGGTTAGATGGAATCTCAGGGTTGTTTTGATTTGCATTTCCTTTATGGGGAGGGATGATTCTTTGCCATTCTTCTTTCTTCTTCTGAGAAGTCTCCCTTTAGCTCTCTTGCTCTTTTTGTAATTAGATATTAAGTTTGGAAGTGATTAGTTTCTTGAGCTCCTTGTATATATGGGGTATTAAGCCTTTGGCTGATGTACTGCTAATAAAGATTGTCTCCCAGCCTGTTGGCTGTCTTTCTAGCTCACTAACAGTGTCCTTACCTGTGCAGAAACTTTTTATTTTAAATGTAATCCTACTTGTCAAGTCTCTCTCCTATCTGTTGTGCCCCTGGGACTCTCTTCAAGAAGTTCCTGTCTATACCTGTAAGTTCTAATATTTCTCCTTCTCTATCTCGAAGTAGTTTCAGAGTTTTGGTCCCTGACATTGAGGTCTTTGATCCACTTTTAATTGATGTTACTACATGGTGATAAGCAGGGATCCACTTTTAGTGCATATGCCTGTCCAGTTTTTCCATCACCAACTGTTGGAGAGAGAGGTATGTTTGGGTTGGGAATGTGGCTTAGTGGTAGAGTGCTTGCCTAGCATGTATGAAGCAATGGGTTTGATTCCTCAATACCACATAAACAGAAAAAACCAAAAGTGGCACTGTGGCTCAAGTGATAGAGTGCTATCCTTGAGCAAAA